TTGTATAGGTTCAATGCCAACAGTAGAGTGTTATATTTTCCCTTCTCTCAGTTACTCCATTGATGTTTGAATGCTCAATTTTCCCTTCTGTTGATTGCTTTTTGTTATTTGTGCATACCACCATAAGAGTACTTAGTTTTTCCTTCTCTTGATTAGTACATTGATGTTTGTATAGTTTGAATGCCACCACTAGAGTGCTTCATTTCCAGTGCAATAGATTTCTTCCTTGATGTTTGTACCATATGTATCACCACTAGAATGCTTCATTTTCTTTTCTCTTGATTACTCTATTGATGGTTGTATAGTTTGAATGCCACCAGTAGGGTGTTTCTCTTTCTGTTGACCATTGTCCTTTTATACGTGCCTCTCTGAATGCTTTGCAAGTTATTTCAAAGTCTCTGTGAAGATGCCTTAAGCATTTGACCTATCTTGGTCTTATTCTCAAATCATTCTGTTTGAATTTTGTGCATTTCTCTGTTTCTGTATATATTTTTCTGCCTCCTATTTAGGGTTAAATGCTGATGATTTGGTTACTCAAACTTACCAGTTTCATACATCATTTTTTTGAGACACTCGCAAACAGTTTCTGTGGGCACAGGAATATATAATATATTCTAAACATGTCACATTCTATGAATTTTAAACTTTGTTTTGGATTATTTTTCTCATATTGGTAAAAATGTTCCCAGTTTTTTTTTAATGGATGGACTTTCGACAATCAATGTCTTTCCACTTGTTTTCAATCTTCCTGCGTTTTGAGTAATTTCTTTCAAAGGTTCCTGATGACAAGTTTAGTGTTACTGAAAATAATCTTTTGTGTGTTTCCTTTTCTGCATGCAGTCAGAGGACTTCTTTATCTGTTGACTTATCTTATTCTCATTATTTTATTAAATCTTCCTGAAGGTCTTGAATTTGGCATAAATGGATATCCATTTTCACATTCAAACATGAGCAACTCTCAAGCTATCAAATTTTGGAAAAACTTACAACAAAACACAACATTCCAATAAACACTAAATTCATTATATCTGAAATATTCTGTTTGCACAAGCAGTAAGTTTTTATGTAACATCCTAAATGCATCTTTGATATCTGTCCAGAGTAGAGTGCATTATCATGTAATGTTTTAAAAGCCCATTGTGCTATGCTCTGGAGTTCATGACTCTTGGTAAGCTGAGTCCAACATAGTCCTTGGGAAGTCCTTCATCCATTTCTTCTTCTGTAAGCCCATTATACTTTTCTACTATGTTGTAGATTCCGTGACTCTTGGTGAGCTGAGTCCAACATAGTCCTTGGAAAGTACTTTATCCCTGTTAAATATACAGGACTGTTTCAATTTAAGTTTAATGCAAATGCTATGATTTAGGTAGTTTATATAGCCCAAGTGTTAAATTTAGTTATTTTGAGAGCAACAGCTTATTGCAAGCTTGGTAATGTAAGTGTTTATGAATCATATGCTGTGTAGTTCAGTTATTGTGAACTGGTGATTGTTATATTATTTTGCCATGTGCCTGCAAAGTTTTCTTCTTGTTTTAATTGAATAGTATATTGCATCAAAATATCTCTCAATGTTTGGAACATTCTGAGCCTCTGTTGGGGTATAAATATGCGAGGAAAATTTAGTTCAAGAATTAGTTAGATCTAGATTGTGTGATTAGCCATAAAGCATGTATTGTGGCAATTTCTAAAGTGGAATTATCATAGACTGTTGTGATAACAGAGGAGGAAGAATAATTCGTTTTGTCAAATTGCATTCTAAAGTAACTGAACCAGCCTGTGTGGACTTTTACGAAAAAGAGAGAATTATTTAAAGCTGTGGATACAACTGTAATAACCAACAGTATAAGGAACATTTATATATACATTTGCCTCTCAATACGTGCTCAGTCAACTTGACCAACCACGTGACCTTTTTATACTCGTTTAAAGTCCTGATAGATTTAATACTTATAACTCTCAATTAATTCTCAGTTAATATTACAAGTATTTAATATACAAAAATCATATTCTTTAGTGAAGTATTTTTAATAAAATAAAATTAGATTTGTCCATTAATATATTGAGTATTTGTTTGAATAGTTCGTGTGCAATGCAATTTTCATGTTAAAATTAAAAATACTTTTCCTCATCTCAAAAATCTCAAATTTCCTTTTTGTAATCCCTAAAACTTCCTAAATGTATTTCATTCGTTTTTGTCATTAAAACTTTATAGTTTATCTGTTATTTTCTCTACCCTCCACAATACTAAATATTTTGTGAAATGATACAAGAAAGTCTGCTTCAGTACAACAGTTATTTTCTTTATGTTATCTCAAAACGGGATCAGTCAATTTGACCAACCTCGTAAACTCCATAAAAAAAATTGAAATAAACCTAAATTACATTTTTTCTTTCTAGAATGACTTCAAATTGTAATATGAAACTACATTCATTTATTCTAAATAGCTCTAAGCTTGTAACATTATACATCTACTTATAATTAAATTTTATTGTTTTATTGCACTGTGAACTGTGTCTTACTACTATCCGTGCCATTATAAGTTGTAAATCACTCGGGAAATGTGCAGCTCACGTTACGCTATCGAATTACGTTATCCATGAGCTGCTCGCATGCATGCCTCGTGAACCATTTTAATTATATTATTATTATTATTACTTATTTTACCTAATATAGTCTTAAATAACTTAAAAAGAACTGTCTTTTTTAATTTTAGTTACTTTTATAATAATAAATAAAGAATAAATATAAAAAACAAGAAATAAAGTACTTACCCAATCTTTTTTTTTCTTGCTCTCGATTGTTGAGAACAGTTAAGCCTAATTTGTCATAGTAATTAGAGTAATGTACTTAATAATTTTTATATAATTAAATAATGCACCAAAGTATATAGACAAATAACATGCAAAAAGTAGACAAATTCCCTTACCTCAAAATTTTTCTGGCTTTGTAACTATGCCACAAGAGTCATTACAAATTCGTCCAAGCTAGTTGTTAACTTTCCTATGGGAACAAATCATGTACTGTGAGTGAAATTGACGATATTCTGTTCAGAACACAATGTTATACATCATTTGATAGGTGAAAATCTTGACTTTCTATTGGTTATAGGTAATATATAATGAAACGTAAGATAGAACTATCAACTAATTGTGAAAAAGATGATGTGACAGGTGTGGTCTGATTGTCTATAATTGATAGCTCTGGGGTGATGGATAAAAGAGGGACGATGACATGTTAAGACAAAATGTGTCACGTGGGTCACACTAGTGGAAATTCAGGATTAAGAACTTAAAACTTGTATACTGTTAAAATATGGATTATTAGCTAAGATTTTATGCTCTTCTAATTGGTATAACACAAACAAAAAATAGTTTAATAAAATTTTGAATGTAAGACACTAAAACTTTCTGTCATGTGCTGTAAAGTATACTTGGGGCTATAGGGTTAAAGCAAGTGGATTGTATGCTGTTTGTTTATTGTTGAAATTTATTGCTAACAAGTCACAGACACCTACTGTAAAGAACCCAGCCCATACATAAGAACATGACAATTTCTTTTTTCTTTTGAGAGCCTATTGTGATATTATACCAAGTTGTGGAGTTTATTACTCATGGTAAGCTGAGTCCAACATAATCTTTGTAAAGTCCTTCATCCCATCTTTCAAGAGCCCATTGTGCCATTCTACCATGTTGTTGGGTTCATGTCTCTTGGTGAGTTGAGGACAGCATAGTCCTTTGAAAGTCCTTCATCCTTTTGGTGTTTTTTGAGACGACTCCATTCACTTCAGTTATTGTTTTTAGTTAAATATGAAAGATGTATTTAACAAATCCGTTTGTCTTAATACATTAAGGTACTCCAAGTTTCTAGAATACTCTTGTCATTGCCAACATATGTACAGCTCCCAAGACTGTGTGTGTGTGTGTAACAATAATATTCATCTCTCTGAAATGATGCTTCCTCTTGTGAACCTTTCCTATATCTTTATAGTGGAGATCAAATGGTATAGTAAAATGCTTGAAATCTTTACTTTCAAAATTGCATTTATATGTGAATACCCATAAATAGATACTTTCCTTACCATGCTATTTAAATCCAGACTTATAAGAGTAATATTCTTCTAACACGATACCTAATCTCTGTACTGAGAATAGCTATATCTCTTGCATGCCTGCCATGTCACTAACTTTGAGCTCTTCCTCACCTGAAATTCATGTTATTAATGTGAAATGTACTAGTGCACATGACATCATGTGACAATAGTCTTCCACAAATAGGAGGATGACACAACCTGTATGCACATTGAGTCCTCTTAATTACTTGCACTCAAAATATCATCTTTTTTTTCATCAGCATTGTCTTGAACAGATAAAATTTTCTTTAGTCTTAGTTCAGTTTATCAAGATTTTCAATCCTCAATGAAACTTATGTTTTTAAATTAACTTTCCTTTTGTTTCAAAAGTATTTATTACCTTCATAAATTCTCAAGTGACAGTGAATTCTACTGTGTCTTGTGAGAGTAAAGATGTTACAAACACAGAATCTATTTTTAATATGGCTTCTGGAAGTTTGTTGACTGTTATGGACATTACAGCCATTGAACAATGTGTTGCAGGTTCCCTCAGTTTGAGAATGACTGGGAGGACAACAAATTTGACCAGTTCTTTCCTTTTTACTTTGGGTACCACCTTACTAGTCAAAGACAATCTTCAACCTTGTAATCACGTTTTGGAATTATTTTCCCATATATACTCCTTTTGTTTGCTTTCATTTGTGTCTTTTTACTCTTCCCATTCTTGGGATATTTTTTTCTTTCCTTCTTTCTTGACACATTTTATTTGATTTTAACTAATAAAATTTTCAGAATGAGCTGCAACATAAACTAGTGTAAAATGAGTGACTGAAAAATGTTGTTGTCAAAGTATTGCCACCATTTATTCAGAGTTTGAAGTTTAGTTCTTTAACTGCAAATGTTTCTAATTTGGTTACACATATCTTTCAGAAAACAGCTTGTGAACTGGCTTGGCAGCTGTTAACAGATGTTTATCAGCTCCCTAAAAGAAGTCTTTATGTTACATATTTTGGAGGTGATGCTGCTCTAGGCCTAGAACCTGACTTTGAATGTTATCACATCTGGAGAAAGATAGGGTAATGATTAAATTTACAAACCAGATCAGTCAGTAGGACTTGTTTGTGGCTCAAACATCTTTGGAAACCACTGAGAAATTATCTTAAAGTTTATCTATTTAATTTTTCCATTAAGATGACTATAAAAATTTCTTTGAAATGGATATCTTAATATTGTGTACTATTTTCTGATGCAAAAAAATAACCTATCTGAAAATTCTGTAACTAATCTAGTTGTTAGTTATTTGAGTTTGTAGATCTGAAAAACTAGATTGTATGACTATAACATGTATATGAGTTTGGAGATATAAACAGTAGATTCCACAGCTGTAACACCATCATGAGTTTGTAGGTCTGAAAAGCTAAATTGTATGACTATTAATGTGTTCATGAGTGTGGGGATATAAACAGTAGATTGTACAGCTATATCGCAATTATGAGATTAGAAATCTGAACAGCTAGATTGTATGGCTGCAACACAATTATGAGTTTATCGATCTCAATGACTATATTGTACAACTGTAACACTATCATGAGTTTGTAATTCTTTAACAAGTAGATTGTACAACTATAACACTATCATGAGTTTGTAAATATGAACAAGTAGATTGTACAACTGTAACACTATCATGAGTTTGTAAATATGAACAAGTAGATTGTACAACTGTAACACTATCATGAGTTTGTAAATATGAACAAGTAGATTGTACAACTGTAACACTATCATGAGTTTGTAAATATGAACAAGTAGATTGTACAACTGTAACACTATCGTGAGTTTGTAAATATGAACAAGTAGATTGTACAACTATAACACTATTGTGAGTTTGTAAATATGAACGAGTAGATTGTACAGATGTAACACTATCATGAATTTATAAATTTTACAGTTATAACACTTTATTGTCCAGTGTTCCAGAAGACCACATCTTTCCATTTGGTGTAAAAGATAACTTTTGGGAAATGGGTAACACTGGACCATGTGGACCTTGTACAGAGATTCACTTTGACCATTTAGCAGGCCAGCAACATGTACCTCCAGCAGGACAGCGGATCAACAGTGGAACTCCTAGTTTAATAGAATTGTGGAACCTTGTTTTCATCCAGTACAACAGGTATTACACATTCAGGTGTATTAGTGTAATATGTATTTTTGTATATCGGATAAATTGATGATTACAGACTCTATCTTACCATACACTCATAAATGTAATGATATCACCAGGAATCGAAGGAAGTAATATTAAAATATCCATCTTATCTGGCACTCAAAATTGTACTGATATTACTGAAATAGAAGAAAATAGCATTGCAATCCTGTCTTGTCAGGCACTTATAACTGTTGTGATATCACCAGGAATAGATGAAAGTAAGAGTACAGTACTTGACCCTTCAAACACTGATAAATATAGTGATATCACCAGGAATAGAAAAATGTAACAGTACAGTACTTGTCCCTTCAAACACTGATAAATATAGTGATATCACCAAGAATAGAAAATGTAACAGTACAGTACTTGTCCCTTGAAACACTGATAAATATAGTGATATCACCAGGAATAGATGAAAGTAAGAGTACAGTACTTGACCCTTCAAACACTGATAAATATAGTGATATCACCAAGAATAGAAAAATGTAACAGTACAGTACTTGTCCCTTGAAACACTGATAAATATAGTGATATCCCCAAGAATAGAAAAATGTAACAGTACAGTACTTGTCCCTTGAAACACTGATAAATATAGTGATATCCCCA